ATTAATCCCACAAGGAAGACTTATAGTCAAATTTATCTTATTGTGATATGGGAGAAAATCATTACAAAAGTACCTAATTTGGAAGCTGTCACCCAAACCAAGATGCTATGATTCTCTTAGTTTGGAAATCACCTGATACCAACCAGATCGTTGCACTAAAATAAGCAACCAATTCCCTTTCCATTTGAATCCAAGTGCATGCCCTTGACTTATTGTGTAATGTTTGCCATGGCCATTAGTTTTGTTAACCTCTTCGGATGTGATAGGACCTTTATTAGAAGTTCTTACCTACACTCTCGGGTTGGGAAAGTTTTTTGTCTTTTTACAAGTTTTTTGGCTGCAGAATTTTCGTTGGAGAACTGCTCCATGTGCATTTCGAGGTTTGTTTGAGCTGCTTTGTATATCATTGTTTTTCAGAAAAAGATATTCTTGCCAAGAAAAGGTCAGCATAAGCAGTATAAGAATGATTCTTCAAGCAGTGTTATCACAATCCTCGAGGGTCACATTTGATAGGAATTTTCACACCTTCAATCTTCACAAACCTTCCTTTGGATAATCTATTGAGTTTTCCTATTGCATCTACTAGAACAAACAAGCACTTCCCAGTTGTAGAAAGACTTAAGCATGTAACCAGAAAAGCAGCTAAAAATACAAGGATTGTTGATTGTGCAAATACCGTTTCAACCACACTAGGCATAACTGGAAATAGGTCACTCGGGTTTGAACACATGACTGGCGCTGCAGTGTGCTACTGCTACTCGCATGTACAGTTGGCATGGGTGTTGATTCTTTAGCTGCTGGCTCCAAGGAACTTTGGGAAAGACTGCTGGCTACGTTGGTTTTATTAGAGAAAGAAACTGAAGCCACAGAAGGCTTCTTCTATAGTTAGCTACATCTAATGTTATCTTTATCCATTAATTGAATTTTTGTTAGTGTGTTAGGATAGAGCAGACAGCTGGTGGTGTTTTAGGTTGGAATTTTATTCTTTGTAGGATTTTAGGATAAATAAAGAACTTTTCTTTTTGGATTTGAAAATTTTTTTATGGGCCTCTTGGTGCTTTTCCAAAAAACAATCATTGAGGAGCTATCTGTCAGATATTCAAATGCCTGTTTGGACTGCCCTTTATTGTTGAGCGTTTATGAAACAGAAATGAGGTAGTTGTTTCTGACTAGTTTATGAATTTTGAAACAATAAATTTGTTCTTTATTCAAGTCTTTCTTGTCTGTAAGGAGCAAAAATGGTGAAACATGGGTTTCTGGGAATGGTGGTAACGTCTTGCATACTTATGAAGTCTCTGATTTGTAGATGTTTTCTGGTTAAGATACTTTTCATTTCTATATAAATATATACAGAAATCAATCCCAAAATTGATGTAGCTTTATACCTGAAATTTTAAAATTTTATTGTACCTTTCAGAGCTATAATTGAAACTTGAATAATTGTATGTTAGGTTTAAGGAAAAGAAAGAGATGAAGAAGAGAGGAAGCAAAAAAGTATGAAACAATATTGTGTGTGGAATTTATGTTGTCAACACCATATCACCTATTTATATTAGATCGAAATTAAAAACAATTATAATATCAAGAAAATAGAACATAATAGAAAAATCACATAATAGGAAAGTAGAACAATAGGAAAATAATATTCTAACACTCCCCCTCAAGCTGGAGTATAGAGATAAAAAATGTCCAGCTTGGCATAAATGATACTAAAGGTGGAGCGCACCATTGGTTTGATGAGAAAATCATTGAGTGGACTGGAATATTTTCACGTAGATAGTAAGGATGATAAAATCAAGCCCTATGTGAAAGCTTCAAACCATTCAAAGACATTTTAATTGACACACTATCACGATACACCCTTGATCCAATGGTTGCTCCATGTGAAGTTTTACACTAAAACAAGCAAATTTCAAGGAAAAGAACATGATGACGGGAAAGGATTTGCACAACACCGCCACCACCAACAATAATATTGGAACAAACAAATATAACCAACAATACTACAACGAACCATAAGTAATAACAAATTAAACTGCAACAATCGAAACAAAGTAAACTAAACATAATTAGAGTTCAACTAGCCGCAAAAGGGCTGAACTGGTGCTAAAAACTATAAAATCAATATTGAATTGGGATGAAGACTCCAAAATTAGTGCTGAACCAGATTGAAAACATTGAGTTAAAACTAAATTAGGATGAAAACTATTGAAATAGCTCTAAAGTGTGCCAAAAATCAGTGTATCGGCACAAAACCAGGACGAAAACACTGAACCAGAGTTGAAACACGATAAAAACCACAAAACCAACTCCAAAATAGGTTGAAAACCACTAAATTGGTCAAAAATACTAAATCGGGATGGAAACCACTAAATTAGCTCAAAATTGAATTGAAAACCTCTAAACCAGCATCGAACTAAATTGGAAATCATTGAACCAGCACTAAAACAGACTAAAAACACTAAGATTCAAATTGAACTAGAATGAAAACTACTAAACTAGTACCAAACTAGCTGCAAGCCACTTAACCGGACTGAAAACACTAAGATCCACGTCAAATGATCAAACATTGAAGACATGAACACCGATTTAGGCCCCCCACAATAATTAATAATAATCACAACAACTGATGAGCAACTAATGAAGACATTGGCGATGGGAAAACTGCAATTGCGAACATGCAAACAACTACAACTTTATGTGTTTTGAGTCCACCCAACCAATAAACAAGTGAGGTGCTCGCCTAGGATGGGGCTCACTCACCCAAGTATCTTGTTCTGATACTAAGTTAAAACTTGAATAATTATATGTTAGGGTTAAGGAAAGAAAAAGAAGAAGAGAGGAAGAAAGAGTGTATGAAATAGTATTGTGTGTAGGGTATATAGCTAGGAAGCATGGATACAGACACGGGTGTCGTATTTGATACAATACAGACACGGGGATACGACAAAGTTCCAAAATATATGACACGGGTACGGTAAGAATACGGCTAATTAAAATAATATTATATATTTTTTATATAATAACATTAATAATAAGATCTAAAAATTTTTGAGTAGTTGGTTAATATTTTATAATTGGACAATAGGGTAATATTAAATTGGATAGTTGACTAATATGTTATAATTGAGAACAATGTTATAAAACCCAAATGAAAGCAAAAAAATTACAACCCAAATGCATATCATCTCTTAAATGAATGGGTCCTATTAATTTTTTCAGTAGGATTTACTCATTTCACACTCATTTAAGGGATGATTTGCATTTGAGTTTTAATTTTTGAGTTTTATTTGGGTTATGTAGCATTTTCTTATAATTGAATAATGGACTAACACCAAATTTGAATGTGGCCTTAGAACAAAGTGCATTGTTGGTGATAACTAATAAATGAATTATATCAACAAAAAAAAAGGCAAAATATTAAAAAAAACTTGTCTTTTTTTTTTTTTTTGTTGGTATTGTCTCTGTTCAATCAAGACGAGAGAAAGAGAAGAAAAAGAAAAAGAATCCTTGGATAGCCGACACCATCTCAGGACGCAGGAGGAGAGAGGAAGAAGGTTGTAGATCCGATCATTGAAGCATATCGTTGAAGCAAATCCTTGAAGGCAAATCGCTGATGTAGATCCTTGAAGGCAGATCGTTGAAGCTCGTCGGAGTAGATCGTTGAAGGCAGATCGTCGAAATAGATCTGGTATGTCTATTCGCCTCTTCTTGTCTACTCTCTGTCGAAGCAAATCTTGCAAATCATCGAAATTTTCTTCTTTTTTTTTCCCTTATTTTTAGCCCCTTATCCCCGTATCCCCCAAATCCCTATGTATCCGAGCCGTGTCTGCCAACTAAAAATCTATGTTTATCGTTCAAGACACCTTTAGAAGTGTCGGACACGTGTCCTACTCGTATCCGTGTCGGACATGTGTTCGATACCACCACGTCGACTTCTCGCCCAGTATCCGTGCTTTTTAGGTCCATAGTTATCAAAGTCGTACAATTCGCTATTCAAATTGTACGATTTGGTTCAATATAGGCACAACACGATTTGTATCTCATATGAGAATAACATTTAGAGTTGAATCGCACCTGAATTGTACGATTCGATTCGTGTCGCACAATTCAGTCACTTTTTTTAAAAATCAAATTTGGCAAAACAAAGTCGTTTTGTCTGCTAAACGTTAAAATGACTTTGTTTTGTCTACTAAACATTAAAATGACTTCGTTTTGTTTGCAAAAGAACCCATGACATAATAAAAACTCAAAACTCAGCCTCTTTACTAGTTATTTCTCTATCTCTCTCTCTCATGTCATCTAAAGCTCATCTTGCATTGTCTGAAGCTGAAGCTCATGACTAAAACTCTAGCGTCATCTGTTGAATGTATGCTTCTTGCTTTTCTTCTTCTTATTAATAGTAAGCAACCCTTATAATGCCTTTTGTCTTCTTTTTTACATTGAATTTTTCTATCTCCTATCACCATATTTCAAAATACACTTTGATTTTTATGTATTTTGCTAGGTTTTAATTTTTTGTTTCAAAATGTTGGGCTGTATATTTTCTTCCAATTAATTTTCTTGTTTATTTTTTTTCCATTTGTGTTTGTAACCTAATTTGTACTGGGTGTCCCTGTTTTAGTTCTTGAATAATCATAGTTCTTTAATGAATTTTTTTTTTAAATTGTTGAATTTGAAAATGATTTAGTAAAAAATGAAAATGAAGCAAAAGGATAGTGTCTTTCCATTTAGACGACGTGATTATGTCAATTGATTATTTTTAGAATGCAATAATGTTCAATATTCAATATGGTGCTTATTTTAAATATATGTTCAAATTTTGTATTGAATCTTCTGATTCTCGATTTGATACGATTTACGATTTTCAAATTTAGGATTTAAATTCATAATACGAATCGTGATTTGACAACTATGTAGGGTATATGTTGCCAACACTTAAAATATTATGAAAGTAGAACAATAGGAAAATAACACTCTAGCAACTATAATTAAAACGTGTCGGGTGTTCATGTAGTTTACGTAGCAGCATTCTCTTTTGATAGAGATACATGTTTTTAATTTTCATTAGTCTATTTTTTCAGGTGATATACATCTAAGGCCAGTCAAAATAACACAAGTTTTTATGTTCATTTTCTTGAACAATATTTCTACACAGAATATGAGGTTTCTTGTATGTGATCCTTAAAGGCAGATTGGCTCTTGTACTTCTAACTTTTCCAGGCCCAGGGAGCTAGTTTTTAAGGCTCTGTAAATTTTCTTTCCTGTAATTGTTGGGAGAAGCTCTTTACTGGTTAAAATAGAAGAGGAGGTTCTTGGGAAAAGACAGTCTTTTTAGTTAGGTGTTAACATAAAATGTGGACTGAACTTTCTGGGAAAAAAATAGTATGTTGACTGTTGCCTCTGGCTCAACCATAAGAATATGTGCTTAAGCATAGGCTCGTTCATCTAACACACCAAAAAAAAAAAGAAAATGGCCCTTTTGACCGAAGAATGGACTCAAGGAGAGACTTTGTGAAGCTGCAATTAATAATGATCAAAATGAAAGATAAGTCACTCTAGTGCCTTGACTGGGAGCATCAATACGATTGTACTTTCTGTGGAGCCGCTTGACTTGCCATATCGATTGTTTATTGATATATCCTTAAAATGAATAATCTACTATCTATCAGAACTTTTCACCTTCTGTGTAATGTAGCTGACGTGCTGTGTATGTCTTCCAGACCTGGTTCATTTGATCTAACAGGACATTCGTGCGAACCGCATGAGGCTGGAGGATTTCTTCCGGTCAAGAAATCCCAAGATGCTGCAGGTGGTGCTCTCTTTCACATGCTGAAGAAAGCCCCACCTCTACGCCGTGACTTATCTGATTCGACAAACTTGTTACCAAGCTTCAAGCCTGAAACCTTGAATAATCGGACCCAGGAGCCTAATCGGATTCCTGAGGAACCAGGGATTAAGCAAGCGGCTTCTGTAAGCATCTCATCTTCTGGGCTTCTTGCATCAAAGACAACAGCTGATGCGTTAGAAGAGCTTCAGGGTTACCGAGAGATGAAAGACTTGTTGCTTAGACAAGCTGGAAAGCCCCAGAAATAGACCAGTTTTGCTCCTGTCCATGAATTCTCCAGCCGAGGTAGGAATAAATTTTGATCACATTTTGCTATTATTATCTCTGCCGAAGCTATGTACAGCATTCTTTAATAGTTGGGATTTGCCATACAGCTTAAAGTACGTGTTTGTCTATAGCCTATTTTTCTTCTCGTGTATATGTTGAGCATGTATGAGTTCATGCCCAAGGTCTGTACAATCTAATATGGGCAGATTACGTGGAACCTCTTGTGTATAAAGAACTTAACCTAATCTGATTGTTCATAGTTGTATAAAGCATATGCAAGTGGTTTTATGGATTCATCTTGCAGCCTCAATACATTTTAATTGAGGAATAGTGTGTTAACAATTACAACCTCAATACTTTTTTTCCGTGTTTTAGGGCAAGTCTAAGTCTCAACTGGGACGGGACGTCCTTACGAGTGAATATCTAGCTTCGAGCCTCGCCTTCTTTATCCCCTAGTTAATATATGATGTTCTTATTTATATTGGAATTTTTTTTTGGTTTTAATATTTATTCTCATATTCATATTGATTCTTATTAGATGTCAAAAATATTGAGCGAGTACATTGATTGGTGCCTGGTGTATACTCCTTGACAAAATGGGCTAACAGGGCAGACATATAGAAATAAAGGCTGAAAAACGAGGTGGCCGAGTAATATGTGTAGATGGCATAGGAGTACATTGATTGGTGCATGTGAAAAGATAGAATCTGTCCTATCAACAAAAACATAAATACAAAAGCATACACGCTCCTAATGACACTTATTGCCTTTGCTCCCATCATTGCTAGTGTCCTCCTCGATCAGTCTCAGGAGCTTCATAAGGTAAAAAATCAGAAAAGTCATAATCAGGGAATGCTATTGAGACATTTCTTCTGAACTCATCATAGCCATCAATAAAGGCGCTTGCCTTGGCCCTCTCAGTGACATCCCTATTTTTTTCCATTTCTATGGAGTAAGTCTCTATCCTAGAAGCTCTCTCAAGGGCTGCTCGAAGGTTAGCCTCCAGTTGGGTGGCCCTCTCGTGGAACGCCTGAAGCTCGGTCTTAAAAAATGGCAGCTCTCTCGTGTGCTAGCCTTAATTGCTTCACGACATCCTCTCGTGCTTGCCGCTCGAGCCCTAACTGCTCTTCAGTAGCCTCTTGTGCCCGCCTCTCTGTTGTCTGGCCATCGATTGTCTCTTTGATCTTCAGTGTATTTGTAAACAAGTAGGGCAAATCAACAGCCACCTATAGGCATTCAAAGGTGAAAATATAAAGGAAGAAAGCCAAATACAAAGCCAAAGTATAAAGGAAGAAAGCTAAGTACAAAGTCAAAGAGGAGTGCGGGACATACCAATGCAAAGCCCTCCACAGTAGCGTCAACAATACCCTCGGGGCCTCGAGATGCAACCTCCCCAGCTTTTGTGCAAGTCACAAACCCACAAAGTCTCTCCTTGGCTACCTTCGCGTACCGTAACATAGATATTGAGGCACTAATCGAAGCAGGACAGTTAGGCAGACCCTCCGCCCTAGTAGGGGACCGCGCCGGAGCCTCAACCTCCATTGTAGCGCTAGGACTATCTCTAGTGGGTGAGGAGACATCAATCAGAGTATAACGAAGGGCATCACCAAGCCCTGCCTCTCGGGGACTAGCTTGACTAGGGAGCTTTAGCTGAGAAATTCCGGGGGCACTAGACTTGCCCACATGCTTCCTGGAGTCGCCCATGTCATTTACATCGCGAAAGGAGGCTCGAACTAAGCTTGGGATGCCGCTGAAATCGCCTCCAATGCTGTTTGGCACAGCCGCTGGCACCGCCCAGTCTTGGCCCAACTCTCTCGAGCTCTTCGTCGTCTCGCCAATGGTACCCACCTTCTTCAAACACCTAGTCTCCATGAATTTGTTGTGATTTGAGAAAGAGAAGACTAAGGGAGAGAAATGGGTTGGGAGATAGTAGCTTCGGGGAGAAGCCTTTAAATAAAGGAAGATGGCTTCTTGGAGAAGCCTTTGAAGAATAGCTTCTAGGAGAAGCCTCGAAGGAAAATAGATGGGGAAATGAAGTGGGGAAGATTGGTGCGTAGTGTATACTCCTTGCCAAAATGAGCTAACAGGGCATACATATAGATATAAAGGCTGAAAAACGAGGTGGCCGAGTAATATGTGTAGATGGCATAGGAGACCAAGACATTTCGGGGTGATGAGGTTACTGAAAAGTTGGTGTGGACTGTGGTTTCCACCGGAGGTTGGGGACCAAAACGAAGACTTAAGGGTTGGAATCGGACCGAGCTGACCCAGTACACCAGTCAAACAATTAGATCAGGCCAGCCCACCCAGGAGAAGGCCACTCCACGGCTAGCCCTAAATAAGATATACTTCTTAAAAATAAAAAATCATAAATTGGTGTATCTATTATTGAGAAAAAATGGCTATATTGAGTGAAACAGAATTTGAGAATTTAAGAGTTTTTTGGTCAAGATAGATAAAAAATTGGAGACATAATTATTATTGATTTCTATAAAATTATTGATTTCAAAAATGGTATTTTTGTAAATAAGTCAAAAATTGCAGACACATAAATATTTGATTTTTTATTTCTCACTGGTCATTGCCGGGCCATTTTAGAGGGCCACAGGCCTTCCTTTCTGGTTGAGGCCTGCAAAAAAGGTACACAAACCTACCCAATGGGCTAACAGGCCGCCGCAAGTCTACACACAATGGGTCGATCCAACCTATTGTCAAATGTGTTATTATCCACTCATTGCTGCTCAAAAAACAAATTGTGGAGTTTCATTCTTTGCAATTCAGAAAGTTAGAGGCCAATTCAATATAAGGGACTTTTAAAGATTTAAGTACAGGACTTAAACTTATTCGGCCTTAAGCTTACCATGCAAGGAACTTTTATTGGTTTACCCTGCTTCATTAAAATAATTTTTTTTTAAAAAAAATTCGTAACACTGTACATTTAAACATAATACAAGAAAAAAATTCAAATTTTTTTTTTTAAAAAAAACCGATAACACCGTACGCTTAAACATAATAAAAGGAAAAAATTTAAAATAATTTTTTTAAAAAACATTAAAAAAAAATTAGTAACACCGTACGTTTAAACATAATACAAGAAAAAAAATTAAAAAAAAATTTATAAAAAAAATCAATAACACGGTACGCTTAAACATAATAATACAAGAAAAAAAATCAAAATAATTTATTTTAAAAAAAAAATTAAAATAAACCTGTGATATCGTACACTTAAACATATAGGTGGTATTCATTAATATAATATACAAGACATTTAGGACACTGTTCAAACCGGGTCAGTATTACGATCCGAAAAATAGTACTAGGTGAAAAATGTCAAATAAACAAGGTATAAGATAGGCCGAACGTACTATTTCTTTCTATCTCGCGCCTATGGTGATGTTTGATAAAACTGAAAACTGAAGTCTAAATTTGTGGACTGTTTGGTATTTGCTGAAATTTAAGTATTGAATTGAACTAAACTGTTTGATAACTACATAGAACTGACGTCTGAAAATAAATTAATTTTCAATTTTACCCTTCCACTCTTTAATTTGAAAATATTTATAAAATATGTTATAACATAAATCATAATCACTATTATTATATTGTAGTTTACATTTAACAAATATTTGATCAAAATAAATTATATATAAATAACACAATAAGTAAACAATAACAAATTGTATAATATAATAAGTGAACAATAAGATCCGATAAAAAAAAGAATAATAACTAATAAATAATCATATAATATTAAAAAAATACAATAAATTATACTTCATTAACAATATATGTGTGTAGGCCATGTGTGTAATTATGTGTGCGCAGGGCATATGTTTGTGTGTAATTGTGTGTGTGCAATGTCTGCAGTACTAGCGTTTGTGTGACAGGACTCGACCCATTTACATCCCTTACATCTCAAACGATTTAAAAATACGACTCCATTCAACCCATTTATATCCTATGTACATGTCTGACCCTCCCCGAACTTTACAGTGGTGACAGTCCATGCAGTGCACTGAACCGCCCTTTTTACATCTTTCATCTTATCCAGTCTCCAACCACCCTACTTTCAGCCTGTAGCTATATGTATGTGTTAGGCTTTTACCGATTTGGATGCACAGGAAACCAAAAGATTCTGTAAAGAAATGTAATCAAATTTCTAAACAGTGCAGCCTTAATCTTATCCTCTCCAACAGCCATAGTTTTTAATCTGTGATTATGGTGAATTGTTTGGTGTTCAAGGCTTCAAGCATTTAGATTATGGGAAACCAGAAGATTCTGTAAACAAATTTAATTGAATTCCTGAATTTACGCAATCCAAATCTTGATTAATTATTACTTGTTTTTGAGTTAGCGATTAATACAAAACCTTAATTTTATCCAATCTTCAACAACTACACTTTTTAATTTATATTTATGATATGCTTTTAGACATTAACCCATTTAAAATGAATGGGAAATCGAAAGATTCCCAGATTAACGTTATTGAATCAACCAAACGCACATCTAACACATGTTCCACTTCTATAAGACCAGATAGTTGTTAAATTTCCAAACTTCATGCAGTCCTTGAGGTCTGTTACAATTAAACTACAGAATGATTGACAAATAAGAAGGTGGGTGTGCCATAATTTAGGATCCCAATACCTTAAAATTTAAACTAAAATAGTTTAATTTATGAGATTATCATTACTCTAATGCTAGACAGACTTAAAATAAAGACTTGATGATGTGATTGCTGATGTGTATTAGTCATGCCCTCAATTTCTTTTTCCAAAATATATATATATTTTAATAAAAGATAAAAGATCAGATTGAACGATTCCAGCCAACNGCCCTCAATTTCTTTTTCCAAAATATATATATATTTTAATAAAAGATAAAAGATCAGATTGAACGATTCCAGCCAACCCTTCCCTCTTCCCTCCCAGTCCTTCTGAACCAACCACAACCAGCATAGAAGCGTATGTTTGAGGAGTTA